GTCAACATGTATGTTATTAAGAGAAGTAAGGTCTAGCTGTGTATGACTGATGGCTAATGATGTTGCTACTTTGATTTGCATTTAGACGGCCGTAAGGAGAATGTCCATTTCGACAAAATCACGTCGCGGATTCGCCATCTCTGTTATGATCTTAACATGGAACATGTTGAACCGGTATGATTTCTATTTCACACCGGGTGTCGTTATTTTTGCTTCTAGTTTTCGCCAATTTACCCTTAGTGTTCGAAGTCAGTTTGCTCTCTGAATCCTTATAACTGTGCGGTGATAGTGTACCCTATCATATGTAAAGTATAATGATAGGGGCAACAGAGTCACAATTTTCATTTACCTCAGTAATTTTTGTTCGCTGCTTCGTTGTCAAACTTGTACAAATTCTCGTTGAAAAAAGTTCCCGCGCGCTGTTTCGCTATCGATCTTGTTTTTACCGCATTTCATCGATCACATTTTGTGGAGTTGCTTTATTATGAATCTTTGTCTTCGAAGAAGGCAGAACTTTTGAACGTTTGGCGGTTGATTTAAAAGTCACAAACAAAATATGAAATTGTCTAAAATATAATCTTAACCACTTTGTAAGGGGTTGCTTGCCTATGACATGAATCGATCAGGAGCACAAAAAATTTCCCGCCGTTTCTACTGGAATATATAGCTAAGGGACAGCTGTAACTGCACTTATTCCAAAGAGCAGCCGAAATAACTTAAGGCAGTTTATGTGAGGTTGTACCCTGAACTCAGATCAATTCATTCGTCACCTCTGGATTGCGGAAACGGGGGGAAGGGCGAACAAAATCTTGGAGCAAATGTAATTGAATTCTTACTAATAGAAGCAAAATTTGGCCAACATTTTTAGAATCATGATCTAGGGTACTGCTACGAAATGCAGAAAGCGTCTTTGTTTTTAAGTGTTATGTAACATGTCTGTGATTTTATAATTTTATTTGTTTTTTCATTTTGTTAACGCTTGTTACTTAATTCATGCCAGATTTGCTTTCTTAATCTATGCTATAAAGCAAAGTTCTTTTATGATGTTGTTCAAGCTGTAAACTTGTGTTCGACGAAGTAGATTACGTTCAGATCCAATGTAGTTGAATCACTGATTTAGAAGGGAGGCGTATCTGATTAGTCCTTGAAACTTTGAATGTCATTTTGTAGGTTTCAGGTTTTACTGACAAATCAGCAGTAACCAGTTGATCCAGGGCGCTCAATTGTCTTTGTGCAGCATCATTCTAAATTTGCTTAAGCTGTGGCAAAACAGCAATGAAACTTTCTCTTATATGAATTAATCGCGTGTCCGTATATTACCTGTTATCCTGCGATAGTGTTGTCATTCAATTAATAATACTCAATCCCTTTATCAGGTCCAGATTCAGTGATTGATTGACGGCTAATAATCAAAATCAAATAAGCATTTGTCTTAATTTTCTGCTGTTTGTTTAAACTTCTGGCTACAGCCGAACTGTTTTGAGTAGTACTAATTATGAATAGTTTTTCCACTGATGAGGCTGAGATGGAGGAGTATAATTTGCTCAGGCTTTATTTTTTAATCAGTAATGAAAACGGTCAGCAGTTTATTACGTATCAGGGTTGATTCACTTACTCGACTCATATTTATGATACTGTATTGCATTTTTTGGCAACATAAATGGAAAAATACTATGTAGTACTTGTTAGTGGTCTTGCGCACATGTGTCTTAGTTATTGTAAAAGTTCAAGGTAATTGCTAAAAATTCAGAAAAACGGCATTGGTGTCAACAACGGGCGTTTTGCTTACAGTTGATAGGGGCTTGATATATCAACCTAAACCGTAGTCCTTCTACTTCATGTATAATACTGCTGATGTAGCTTTGCCCTATCTACAAGACGACAGAACACGAGCATTTCAAAGAATCTTTAGGCGAAAATTTACGATCCTTTTTCATCCGCAGAACCTTTCAAATTATGTAACCAAGAATTCTGATACAGAAACTTAGAAAAGGTATAAAGATGCACGAAAATGGTTTATAAAAAAATATATCATCTTGATCAATTATTTTAACTAATTAGTTTTTTATGAGTACTGCTAAAAATGCGTACCGTTCTTAAAACGCGTTTTTAGGAACTGGTATTGTAAGTAAAACATATGGCTAGTTGTTTACCCGTCTTTTTTAATATCTTTAGCTTTGTTTCCAACTCAAGTTCTTAAAATAAAGGGTTAAATAAGTATTAATAAACAACATAAATAGAACAAAGACAAAACGCCGACTTGATGGAGACCAAGAGCCGCTATTAAAGAGCTGCCACTCGATTTTCACATCAGTGGTCATCATCGGGATCTGTTCAAGCCGTCGTGCAATGTTTGCAAGTTTCGATCTCGTTTCCACCGAAGATAATGTTTCCCATCTGATTATCTGGTTGTCTCTACCACCAGGTCTTCGTATGGTACTCCATTTTTTACAGCATAGCGTGACAAAAGCAAGATGGCGATCAGGTGACAGCTCTGCTTTTCTCTTAACGCGAACATCCATTGCAGAGCATTGTAAATCAGACCATATGAGTATCAAATTGTTCATCGACTTCTGCGTTTTAGCTTCCATGTACTAGGTATACTGATGCACGCCTCGATGCACGAAGGTGTTAAAAGTGTACAGTCTGTTGTTTGCTCAAAATTGCTACAACTTCGTACAGTTATTGTTGAGGTAAATAAAACCATTCCTTGCAATCACATGTTTCCACTTTTTTGTGTCTGCTGTGACATACGCATTTGAACCGCCTGTTAGAATGAGAACTTTGGTGGTCAGCACATTTTACAAAGCATTGTAATTTCTTAAGGAAAGATTCATATTCGCCCTCCAAATTAGGTGTGTAAATCTGCAGCAGGGTCAAAGCTTTAGCCTGTTGTAACCTTGGTTAGAGGATTGCCATTCTTCCTCTGACAGACTTCCATTCATTGATTCTATCGGCTAGAGTAGATTCTGCCAGATCAACACCGGCTTGAGCGCGCATCGTGATATGGACATCTGAGTAGAATAGCTTCCACCCTCAACCGTTCAGGATTCCATAGCCTTGGCGCTTCGTTGATGAGAGTCCAACTATTTCGTGTTTGTTCCTTGCAGTCTCATCAAATAGCTCTTGCTCTTTCCCTCTGACTGAGGATAGGTTCGTTTTCGGTTTTTAGCTACTACAGTCGGTATGACTCCCGTTGAGGCTTTTGTGACGCGCTATAATGGCATCTGCTCCGTTTCTAATTATTTCTTCGTTGTCTCATTGTCAATCTTAGTCAGTGATCGCCTTGCTGCCACGCCATCGCCTTGCAGAAGTGGTTGAACAGGATCTGATCGCTGATTCTTCGCAACGTTTCTCGGTCACCCAACTGCCTACGCGGCCCTTGGTAATCCGGCCGACACTGGTATAATATTCGGTGGCTGCAATGCCACGAAGTAGAGGTGGATAAGTTTTACTGAGTTCTCGCCGCGGTCTAAAATCTTCCTCATTTGCCATCCGTTCTT